ACTTCGATTGGAGCTCTCTGAAGCTCAATTATCAGCGCTGATGTGTGTGTGTATGCATGTGACCCAGACTATGTGAGCATCATGCATCAAAGCAAAACATGCCTTTTAACAATAATATTTCTCTGGTGTATTTTCTGAGTATCTTCAGGAATTTAAACAGTGCTGTTCTTGGAAGGGTTCCCCTGAATCCTTTTATTATGCATTCTTGTGAAGTTCAGGCTTCATTTTAAATTAATTTATTTCTCAAGTCCCTTGAGAAATAACACTGTGTATTCTGTATGTGGTCCCACAACTTCACTGAAGCTTTTTAATGCTTTTACTGACTGAAACATTCAAACTTCCAAAGTCTTTTCAAAGGAACAGTTCAACATTTTGGGAAATACACATTTGTTTTCTTGCCAAGAATTAGATGAGAAGGTTGATACCATTCTCATTCTCAGCTTGGTGTGAGCAGTTTCATATAGGCACTATTTTCTTTCTACTGAGCTACATCCACCAAACGTATCACTGCACAGAAGGAGGCGTGCAGCTACTGCTAGTTCACCTAGCACCACTGAGCTTGCTAACGTTACAGCTCAGCTGAGGAGGACGCCATTAATGTTTACATCTCACGCTGCCACGAACATCTCATTCATGACTAGATTCATGCTGCATTCTACGTACTGATACAGTTGGCGGGTGTAGTTTGGTAGAAAGAAAATAGTTCCTACTTGAAACTGCTCACAACAAGGTCTGTGGATTATCTTGAGGTTTTCAAATTTATTTTTTGGCGCTTTGAGCACCACAAGCTGAGTGCCATCTAGTTCCATTATATTCAAGAGAAGGCAGACGTCTTTACGGCCGGTATCTTCAACACTTGGCAACTCACACCAAAACGATCTAGATTGATAAACAGCACTACAGGTAAGAGGAAAAATATGTATTTTTGATTTTGAGGTGGATCTTTCCTTTAAAAGTGATACTGTTGCTGCCTTTGCACAGAGTCAGGCTAGCTGTTTCCCCTCGTTTCCAGTCTTTATGCTAAGCTAAGCTAATTGCAGAACTGCTTTTCTGTTGCTTTTCTTGGACGTACAGTATGTGATGGCAATCTGAAAGTCTTTGGTTCTTGACAGTTGGTCAGACAAAAGTATTTGAAGGTGCCATTTTCTAACATTTTGTGACTCAAGATTATTGATTAATAGAAAAAAATAGATGATAAAAAATAGTTTCAGTTGTATTGTTAATTTTGTATTTCTTATAGATCATAATCATATATTTGTTATACTGGTCATTACAAAGTTCCGTTGGATTAAACGCCAACTTGTATGACTCAGTAGCAAATCCATTTGTCTCCAAGCAAGTTATATTACTGTCTATGACTGAGTTTTTATTCTTTTATCTGTATTCAGTTGCATGTCTTCGTTGTTACTCACATACACACACATACCTGAGGTCCAACTGATTTTCACATGTAACCGCATGACTCCACCTCATAGGTTGCCACAGTATTGCTCCATATGTTTTGAACTCCTCTTCTCTCCTCAGGGTCAGCAGCAGGTATTTACTGTAGTGCACAGAGCACATTCCCCTCTCGTATGGAAATCACACACTCAGCATGTGAAACTGTTACCTCAAGGTCAAACACACTCTTCAGGGGAGAGAATATTGTTTGCTGAGGGCAGCTCATAAAACTGTAGAGGCCCTGCTTCCCAGCGTGCTGCTGCTGTCGGAAGGGATGCTCAACTTTAATCTGCCATACTGATTTAGGACTATTATCAAATGTGCATGGACTCCAATATCTGCTCTCTCATCGTCAAGAGAGGATCGATCTGAGGCCTTGGAGTGCCGGCCGCTCTGATTGATGCACTGTAGAGATGAATGCTGGTCAAATTACTAATGAGATTTGATTGAGATTCCCCTGAGCAAACAGACTGTCAGACAAGATGTGGAAAAGTTGGTGAAACATTCGGTCTAATGCAATTTAGAGTCTGAATTTTCTCCTTCTGAATCCCACTTCTTACTCTAGGTAAGTCCTCAGGTGGGGGATGGGATGCTGCGAGTGAGTCAGCGTTGTCCTTCTATCGCTAATGGCCAGGAAATATCTATGTTGGAGTGGCTAATTGGATTTCTTTAACAGGAAAGCATCCGTCCAGCTCCATTAGCCGGTGGGAAACAGCAACACACAGCAGAGTGGGAGACAGGTGGGAGATGTGGACTAAAGGAGGAAGAGTCAGGAAAGAAGAGGGAGGCATGTTTGTTGTTGATGTAGGTCAAGGAGCAGGCAGAGGTTTAGTTCAGGGGAGGCAGTAAGTGTTTGTTGTTCATGCAGATGATGATGATGGAGTGAAATGCCAGGAGTGAAGCAGGGATGTGTAATGAGCTCATTAGCAGGCAGCCCTTGTGTTGGGGTAATTCACTTAACTGCAAGACTGCGCATCTGATCATTCTTCCCGGATGAAGAACTGACTCTGGTCCAGTTTATACTAATAAAATTTTAAAAAAAAAATAACCCTTTTAATATAATGTATCTCACCTGTTAGCTGTGATTGCATTACCTCTCTCCTGCAGTAGCTCCTTTCAGCTGGGAAAGACTACCCCAATGTTGACCCTCGTTTTTTGGATTCGCCAGTCTTGTTGCCTTTTTGATTCCCTTTTGAGCTTTCTTGGCGATGAGGATTCTGTCTCCCGTGATGGTGCATATGCATGATCCTGCATTATGCTGAAAGAGTGGGACTTTGTTTCAGATTTGCTGGGGGAGTAGCAAAGTGCCTCTTGTCACGCACCACTGGCCTGGCTCTCAATGAAAATGCCGAAGGCGGGGCTATATGTCCCTTGCTGGTGGATGTATTCCCAAGATAGCACACACGTGTGATGAGACACCGGTCGCAATGTATATGTAAATGAGAATTCTGGAGCTTATGGACATACTTAGATACACTGATGGAGGTAAATACACATGTGCTAGGACACACTTTTGACTGCAGAATTTGTTTGTCTCAAAGAACAACTGAAATTGTTACACATAGTGCCTTTAACGCTCTAAAAAAAAAGATAATATCATAAAATAATAAACGTAAAGAAGCAATCCCTTCATCTGGGTTTTTAATGGAATATGAGACTAAACTGTGTGTTTTATTGTGTATTGTCTGTTGTGCTTCTTGAAGTGAAAATGAATGAGTAAAAAGGGTCAGCGCAGGACACAGATGAACCACATTTACATTCTTCTTAGCAGCTCTTGACATAAACGAGTAAAGCTACATTCAGCAACACAGTGAACAGGCAGGAAAGGCTAAATCAAACCTGGCAGCCCTATTACCTCCAGGCTACAGCTCTCGTTGGCATCTTGTGCATCCACTGACACACTGGTGTAAAGTGTAATTGAGGGTCCCTCCTATACACCAATAGGATGGCGAGAGACCCTGGAAGGGGAAAACCACTCGTTCCTCAGACACAGATCATGAAGGAACAGTGGGCCTACTATGCTGCCTGTAAATTGAGCCTTTCTTCCTGTGAGAGGGTGACATAGTGGAATGCAGCACATTAATGTGGACATGGGTGGGCTCCTCATTCCTGTCATAGCATCTTTCTCTTCTCTTTGACCCTCCATGACTTTCTTCTCTCTTCTCTTTGCCTCTATGCTTCTTTTGAGTTTATGTCAACAGGGTGTGGATGCAGAAGTTTTTTCATCACCATAGTTCAGGTTCTTGTAAGGATATTTATCATCAGTCACAGCTGTTTATCTTGATGTTGTCTGTTGTATCCCATCAGTTTCAGGTTCATGTCAGTGAAGCTGTATTAAGTTCCTGTTTTCATTAGCTGATAATTATCTGTACAGGCCAATATTAGCTTATTGCAGACATATTGGTTCTGACATGCATTTTGGTGGACGAATAAAAATAAATTTCAGCAAGAAAAAGGTTGAGGTAGTTTAGAAACGGTATCACCACTGTATAGGAAGGCCAGTTGTTGAATCACCTCACGTTGTCTGCTTCTCGGTCAGAAAGTTGCACTTGAACACACTGTAAGGACCACAGCCAGCGGCCAACTAGCATGTACGTTCTGCACCTGCGTGAGAGGAAATAACTCTCTACACCAGCAGGTGGCGACAGTCTGTATTAGTTATTCAAAAAGGGAAATTGGAAGACCAACAGGAGGCATTTTAGATGCTAGTTAGCCAGCTAACACTTTAATAACACAACTGGATGTTGAACAATTATGAGACATTTCTGCTAAAGATCTCAATGGATAAAAACATAATCTTACCTCATATAACAAGTTGTTTGGCTCTCACGGCGTCTTGACTTTAGTCATTTGTTTGCTTTCCTCACTTCCCTTCCTCTTCTTGCTCACTAAGCTGAACTGCCAATTGGAGTGATTTAATTTACCGACAGCCACGACGCCAATAAGCATTGGCTTACAGCAAACAGACAAGGGCCGACAAGGGCTGACGGTGCGGTACACACTGCAAAAACTAGGGCAACAGACACTCACGGCTCAACACTGAGAGACAACCAACTGTTGGCTTGGTGTGTCGGAGCCCTTTGTTTATGTTGCAACCTTCCTCAAAGTAGGAAATTGAAACACGCATGAATGCAATATTCCCATCACATTTTTCACATTGCAATTATTTGTTTGTGAGTGGCACTCCTTTTAATTATTTCATCTCACTGGACTTTGAAAGTTTGAGTATTAACAGTTGTTGACTCAGTTGTCAATCTCACAAACGCCAGCCTTCCCACTCAAAGGTTTGACGACTGAAGGAGCATTTCTGTTTTTATCACCAGAGATCCTTGATAAAAAATGTCAAGAACGTATTTGAGACTCGTCTTGACATGATTTCTGACTGCAGAAGTGAATGATTGAAGTTGAAAGTAAAATGAGACCTACTCAGAATAAGAAAAAGAAACAAGCAAAATTGCTCAAATTCTCTTTGTTTTGGTGCAGTCATGAGGTTGATAAACGACTAACACATGTTGAACAGACATATTCATCAACAGTCATGTTGTCTTTCTCTTTTTCAGTGTGGGCTGATGTGGAGGTGAGCATGGAGGACAGAGTGGAGGTGTTCAGAGGAGAAACTGCTTCGATCACCTGCATGTTCACATCTACTGAAGGCATTGGCGGGATGATCATACAGTGGTTCTACGTGAGTTTCCATCAGGCCTCGTGTACGCATACACAGAGAGGTATGATGTGTTCATGCATGTGATGTGTCGTGTGTTTGTATTGTGACCTCCAGGTGACACGGACGGGTGAGAAGCAGAAAATCTACTACCAGGACAGCACCATGCAGTTTGTAGACCGAGGCACACAGTTCACAGACAGGATCAGCGTGAATGGCACCGGAGCCAGTGAAGCGATAGTTCTGACTATCAGGGATGTGCGCCTGGAAGACGAGCTGGAATTTATCTGTCTCATCAAAGGTCTAACGGATGGGACCGGGGAGGGACGGACAAAGCTGAAGGTGTTTGGTAAGATTTAGTCTGAGATTTTTAACTTTTTAAACTCCTTCAACCTCAACACTTTTGGTATGGTACCTTTGGAACCAACAGTAACCCTTCAGACATGGTACCTAGGCCCTAGCGTTTCCACCACAAACAGTACTCTTAACAGTGGGCGTGGTTGTTGTCACTCACTGCTCCGTTCAGCACTCACTGTATTTCCTGGTTCTTCATCGGTGACATAGAGGGAAGTCTGCACCTCGTTTATCGTCCACAGAAAGAGGCTGCATGGTGACATTCTCAGAACAAAATAAAACAGGCTGCAGTGAGAATCTGTCTCCATGGGATATTTCAAGATAGCAGGTTTGTGCATTTAGTCCTTCTCAGGCAAGCTCAGTGGTTTAGTGTTGCCGTAGCCCACAGGAATGAGTGAGGATTGGAATATATGCAGTTCACATAAACCGGTTGAAATCAACATATCTATAATGCTTGAAGATCCACTCATTACTAAAAGTGTTTGTCATATAAAAACTAAAGTTAAGGTCAAAGTTGTCACAGTGAAATTTAAGTTGCGTTGATTGATTCACATTGTCGACTTGTGCATTGAGTAATACTATAAGTTAACGTTCCACCTTAAAAGTCGCCGGCAGTCGGCCCAGTGAGTTAAGTTATGTTTTTTCTCCAACTCCAGCTGCTGCAAGAGGCAGCAAGACATCCTTTCATTGTATAGTTACAGTTTACTAATAAAACTCTCCACAGTATGAACAGTGGTTACATGAGCCTCAAAAATCAGACTGCAGTGTTCACAGCTCCGCCTTTTAGTACCAGATCTGTGTGCTAGGTACCCCAACAGAGGGGGGACCAAAGATGGGGACGGTACGGAACATTCCATTGGTAGCATCCACAACTTTTCACAGTGGAAACAGAAAAAAAACTTAATGCATAATTTATGCACCACAGTACCCGTAAACCTCAGCTCCTGTCATTGCTTACAAAAACACTTCAAACCCATTCAGTGGTTCCAGTGACACTTCATGTTACTGTACATATGCAACATGCTAAGACACTGAAACTGTGTCTCAGCTGCCTGAACGCAGACATTTTCTATAGAACATTTTGCCTATTCTAGCTCTTGATTTGGTTCTTGATTCCTTTGCAGAAAAACCGGACTATCCCACCATTGAGGGTGTGCAAACAGGGATCTCAGTTAGCGAACCCGGCCCATCCAAGGTAAACAAGCTTTGAATCACATCAGAGTACAAAAATGATGAAATGATCGCCAGGCTTCAGTTTTGATCTTTGAATTTGGTCTCCTTTCATTCTCTCTCCTCTCCTACAGATTGCGACCTGTGAGGTCAAAAATGGCTACCCCAAGCCAAACATCACTTGGTACAGAAACAACGCACCACTACGCGTTGCTCAGGATGGTAAGACCGAGTTACATCGGCATCTATGATGCATTAATACACTGTTTTAGTTTTTACTTAATGTGGTATCATTTCTTTCTCCATGCCCCTCCCCTCCCTTTCCTTCCTTTGTCTTGTGTGTTTGCAAATGTTTTTTTGTCCTCCAGTGGTGTTGGTGATGCCCAGCACCACTACTGAATCCACCGGTCTCTACTCAGTGAAGAGCGAGCTGAGCATGATGGTGATGAAGGAAGACAAAGATGATCAGTTCTACTGCGAGATCACCTACTTTGTTCCCGGAGGAGTGGGGATGCTGGAGTCTGAACGTATTAACATCACTGTATACTGTGAGTTTCACACATAGTATAACACCAGTGTCATTGTGCACCATGAGACCACATCCTCTTTTCAATGGGAGACAGTTTTAAAAAGTGACACCAGCTGCCCCATACACGATATCATCAATCTATGTGAACACTAGAATATTACGCCTATATATGATACGGTGTGTATTAAAGCCACAACAGCATGAGTAAAGTCAGATGCTGATTTTGGGTGATAACTGCAACTACAGCTGGCTAGGGTCATTTAGAAACAGAAAAGAGCCTGGTGCCACAAAGTTCACAAGATTAGAGGCACACCTCTGTCTAAAATATTATTTAAACTTCCCTTAATTTACACTAACAGGGCTGAACTTATGTTGAGTGCATGTCAAATGGGATGAATGCTCAACACGGGGAAGATCCCCATGTTAACAGCTTGCAAGTGTTAGAAACACTACGTTATATTGATTTAATTTAATTTGGGTTTAATTACATTAAAAGATGTTAGGCATCCATGTCTGTCTGATTGTCAGGCTTCCATAATCTTAAGCTTAAGGTTGGATATATCGGAGCTTTCAAAAAGGTTTTGACTTTCCCGTTCTTAGTTACTACTTGGACATTGACAGGAACACAGTACACTAGTCAGAAACTCTGGTGAGCTTTCCTCACGTTGGGGAAATTGGCTAATCAGAGCTGTGTGGGTGGACTTAAGAATGTTAACGTCATCTTTCTATGCTACAACCAGGAAAATGCACAAGAGCCCTGCAACCTCCATGTTAAAAGTCGTGTCCAGACAACTCGTATGCTCTGAATTTCACGTAGAGCTCTTTTAAGCAGGCTACTGCGTGTTCTGTGTCCCCTGAAAATGATGTCAGAGAGACTGATAAGTGACCTGCTGCTGATTATTTGTCAGGGCAAAATAAAACAAAAGTTGCCTCTTTTCACCTTTCATCAGGAGGGCATAATGTTCAGTGAGGTGAAGACCCTCCAACCCTTCCCCAGTGCAGCAACAATCCCTCACTGGTTTCCCAGTGTAGTCAGAAGCAGCGCAGTTGGAGATCTAGTGTAGTTTGCTGCCAGGATGGTTTGTGGCTGTCACATAAACCTCCTACAACTTTTAAGTTCAGGTTTGTGGTCTGACCTTGAATTCCTCTCTCTGTTTCAGACCCCTCCACAGCTGTGAGTGTTTGGGTGGAGTCACCAAAGGGCAAAATCAAAGAAGGGGACTCGGTCGAGATTCAATGCCGTGGCAATGGGAATAAGCCATCCTCCTTCGTAACAATCAGTCATGTAAGAAAATCTACCCTTTTGCACTCAGTATTCATGCACATGCAAAAGCAGCAACAAGTCCCCTCAGCAGAAAGAGTTGTTGACTTACAAATATCCGAATTAAAGTTTATTAGTTGATCAGATTACTCTGGCTTTTTGTAGGATGGTAAAGATCATGAAGGCAAGATGCTGCTGCTGGAGAATGTGACTCGCCGCGACAGTGGAGATTACATATGCACCTCTACGGACACGGACACCTTTGAGGACATCACGGGACAAATTTCTGTGTTTGTAAACTGTAAGGAATCTGCACTGATATGATTTGTGACCATTATATAAGCATACATTTAACCAGCAGTGCTACGATACATGCCTGATTTTAACCTTTGCTCTCCCTCTCTGCGGTGTGTGTAGACCTTGATCCTGCTGTTGTGAGGCCTGGAGACACAATTGTGGTGCCCCAGGGAAACGAGCTGAAGGCCACCTGCAATGCCCTCTCCTCGCTCCAAACACAGACTGTCTGGTTTAAGGTCATACGTACATGCAGTACAATACAATTACACAAACAGCAACAATATTTAGTCTCATAAATATACCAGCACCCCAGTTATTACTCATACATTTTGGAGACTGGTCACTCTACTGTTTTGGTGCGATTGGGTACTGTGTGAAACATTTGAATCGGGTTGCAGGTCAGGTTTAGAAAGTTTGGGCAGTAAAAATACAAATGAAATGCAGTTTTTGCAAATCAGATCCTAGCTACATTTGGAGGACGTTTGAAATGTGAATAACAGTGGATTTCTACATATATATATCTCAGTCTGGATGTTTCGGGCTGCTAGAATTGGATTTCAAAGTGTCTTTGATGAGCACACAACAACTTCAAATCCGGAGTGATGGAAGTGCTGAGCAGAATCCATGTTTCTATTAATGGAGCACTAAAGGGGGCAACTTGGAGAACCACAGTCCCAGACAGACGCTGAAATAAATTAAAATAAATAACCACAACGTGACAGGCGATTGTTTGGAGGGTGAAATGATGGACCTCTACTTCTCATGTGTCTGCAATGGAAAGTTGTATCACTATCCTTGCTGCGTAGTTAGTGATGCCCACATCATTACCACAGATAGATAGGTTGGTGATGTCTGGACACACAAATCCGATCTAATCAGTTGCAAATAACAGTGTGGACGGTCTGCTGTCAAGATCTGATTTAAGAAACAAATTTAATTTGCCTGCAGTCTCTAGGTAGAGTCATGGAGTCAGTGGCTTATTTTTAGGAGGTGCAGACTCAACCGTCGGTACGAGAGTTCAGCTTGCGGCAAAGTAAAAGGCAGCCAATCAGGAAGTCTGAAAATAAAAAATAATTCTTGATTTGATTAGACCGTTTTGTTGGCAGCAGCTTGTCTAAAAGACAATAGAATATCAATTTGTCATTACTTTTTCTCACGATTGAGCGTGTACCAGTTGAATAAAAGGTCAGTGAAAGTTCAGATTTTTTGTAAAAATAGGACTTTAAATTTTGTGAAAGGTGATTGTAAAATTTTCTGCACAACTTCTTGTAAAAAGTTCGTTAAAGCAGCCATCTGATCTATTAAAAACTAGTACACTGGCAATCCCTGCTTTGTATCCACATGTGCATAGCAGTGTGTGTTAAATGTTTTTGTGTCCCTGTGTGTGTTTGTGTAGGATGGAGCGGAGGTTTCAGTGGGCAACATTTTGACACTTAAGGACGCTATGTTCGACATAGCAGGGACGTACATGTGCGTGGTGACTGTTCCTGAGATCGAGGGAATGGAAACCAGTGGGACACTTCATGTTTATGTCGAGGGTAAATCTGATCACAGAAACTGTGTCCTGAATATTAAATAGCTCTCTAGTCCTGATATAATGTTTAATGTAATGTTAGTTTCTATATGCATTTATATATATAAAGGAAAGATGTATCTGTGTGTTTGCACCAGGTATTGTTAGTGGTTAGAGTAGTTATGGTCATGGGAGAACTTGTTAAGGTTATTAATCTTGCTCATCTCTCTGCAGGCCCACCAGAGATCATGCAGCCAGAGTACACAAAAGTGGAGGAGAGTTTTGAGAACACAGTCGATCTGAGCTGCACTGCCAGAGGTTTCCCTGCTCCCAATATTGTCTGGACCACCTCTGATGGAAAGGTACAGCTGAGGGAAGCCGGGTTCAAGTATTTATTGTACAGGAATTGTTCTGACTGGGACATTAATTCAAGCTTATTCATCTGGTCTCCCATTGTGGTCGACACTAAGGGTGCTTTCACACTTGCCCTGTTTGGTTCAGTTCAGTCGAACTCCAGTTTGTTTGCCCCCTAAGTAAGTGTGGTTCTTTGGGCAGGTGTGAACACAGCAATCACACTCCGGTGCGCACCAAAACAACCGGACTGAGACCTTCTTGAAGAGGTGGTCTCAGTCTGGTTACAAATGAACTCTGGTGCAGTTTGTGGTGAGAACGTGTTCCGACCTTGAATCCGAACCAACTGCAGTCACATGACACATTGTTTGGGTTAAACATGAGCATGTTACAGTCCTGGAGGATTATTAATGTGCACCTCCTCCTGTACTACCTTAATATGCACATTCAGCACATCCAATGCATCAAAACATTGTTTTCTACTACAATGACAGCAATATAGTCCACGATGAGCAGCGCTAAAATCAACCTGCGTAGTTGTCCCTCCATTGTGACATTATAAAGTGTCACATTTATCTTGCAAGTGTTCTTGAACGTTTTGTTTACTTCCTGGTTTACTTCCGTTTTGTTTACTTCCTGTTCTCGTTTTGTTTACTTCTCGTGCACAGCATTTGATCTGGTCTGCTTGTAAATGCTGCGGTGAGAACATGAACCAACTCTAGGCAATTATGCAACTTTGTGACAAAATTAGTCCCTGATTTAGACCAAAGCAAGACAACTCTAGGTCTGAAAGCACGCAAAAATATCTCAGCAACTATACCATAAAGTTTGGTACGTCTATATATGGCACAGAGAGGATGTATGCTAATAACTTCTGTGATGCCCTGACTTTTTATCTGTCGTCACCAGCAGCTCAAAATTCTTACCTCTCTAGTAAAATATCCAAACATCTACTAGATGGATTTCTGTTTGATGTACTTTGTGTTTAACGCTAATTAGCTTAACTAAAATGGTGAACGTGGTAAGCGTCTTCTAAACATCAGCATGTCAACATTTTTTGGAGCATGTTCCCATGCTAGTGTTAGCATGTGGCTCAAAGCACCACTGTACTAAAGTACAATCTCATAATGCCGATGCCATGGCTGTAGACTCTATCTGGTTGATGTAAGCATGATATTTTCAACACCACTCATTCTGATAAAACTCAAGCACATTTTCGTTGCGCGTTATGTTGGTTTAACTTCTTGATTGGCCTGAGAGAGGTGCTGTCAGCTGCCTCTAAAGGTTGGTTTAGTTGCATTTCAGAGAGATGATGCACCCATCTACAGTCTGTGACAGGATGCACTCAACTCTTTAAAATCTGACCTACACAGAGGAAAGGGAAACCTTCTCCACCTGTTCATCTTTTTTCCTCTGCCTTTAACTGTGTGTTTTTCTGCCAGATCCTCAAGTCAGCATCCCAAACAGACACCGACGATGGGGTTCAGAGTGTGGTCAGCATCAAGGTCACCTCTGACATCACTGCCTTCTGCAATGCCTCTAATGAGTTTGGCACTGCCGCGGTGACCTTCAGCATCACAGCCAGTGAGTTCCTCCTGCCACTTGTGTTTCCTGTGTCTGCTCTTTGTGTTTATTTGAGTGTACTTGTCTATCTGTTGTCCTCTTCGCCGCCCCCCCTTTTCCTTCTCTTCCTCCCCCTCTTGTGTGTGTCACCTCTGTGTTTATTTTTACTTCATCTGAAGGCCTCGAGCTCTGCCGTGTGCAGTAAAGTGTTGCCTGTGACATTTCAATCAGTGCTGTTGTTGTTTCGGACGAGACGCTGTGAAGCTGTGCGGCTGTTAAATGTGCTCCCCTCTTCCCCCAGTGTGTTAACAGGGAGTGTCCTCCCTTCTGTGCCTCTACCTGTTTTCAGCTATAAACACCACCACAACAGCCACCACTGCTAGTACCCCTACTAGTAGCACTACTAGTAGCACTACCACTACCACTACCATTTCCTCCGCCACAGGTAAGACCACAGTCATGCACTGTCTGCCTCGCACCACTCAAGTCAAATCAACGAGAAAAAGTTTAGAAAACTACTCGTATCTAAAGAAAGCCCATGAGAAGGATTTGACTGAGAGTGAGTGTGATGCCTCACCTGTCAGTAACGGTTATTATCTGCAAGTCACTTGGTTCACACACTTCCTTTCTTTCACAGCCGGCTAAGTCGTTTTTCTGTGAGTCAGACAGAAAGAATGAGAGTGAGAGAGGAAAACTTGAAGGCACCTGAAGGCTGCAGCAATTACCACACTGGCATGACTGAAAGGTCATTACAGCCGTGTTGGTTAGTGATCACTGATTAAAAACTGGTTTCTACAAAGTATTTATAGTCTCTAATGGGTGATGTACTGTCATCGCTGCAGGGTGTCCTATTGACTTATGTGTTGGCACAGCTTGAAGTTATTAGGTAATTAAACTTAATTTGCTAATATGCGGTCTTTTTAATATGAGTTTAACAAATTATCTATCAATAATCAGTTGAATCAGATAAAAAGGATTGACGTGGTTCACCTTCTGCCTGCTGCAGTGTTATGAGGAATGAGTATTGCATTCCTGTTAGCAATAATGGCGTGCAGATGGACACACAGTTCACAACCACGAACACACACAAGCATCAGTGTGACTTTAGAAAGCAGCTGATGCTTTAAATGCACTCAGAGCGAGTCTCCTGACTCCCATTACGGGTGCCGCCTCCTCCTGCCTCCGCTCTCTCTTGTACACCATGCCAGGAAATTTTCAGCCCCTCAGAGGCAGAGTGTTCTGGGTCGGCGTTTCTGGCAAAGCGCTGGTTAAATGAGATCAAACAGAGCTGCCCTGGGAAATGACTGTTGTGCTACTGACCACAGTCGGCCAATCAGGCTCGATGTTTAGCTTCAAGTCACAGATAATGTCCTCTCAAATTAAACATTAGTCGTGTTCAGTCCAGGCCTCTGCTGAAGGTCTAAACTGTTTGTGTGTGAGTGTGTGAGCGACAGAGCGAATGAGAAAGAGTTTATTTGTGTTTGTGTGTGTGTGTGTGTGTGTGTGCGCGTGCGTGTGTGTGTGTGTGAGGCCTGCTGATAGGAGTTATTTAACACACCCAGCCACCCACTGATAATTGTGCTCATGTTGTTTTTCTCAGTCAAAGCAGAAACAGCTATCCCAAAGCAATCCCCAGAGAAAGTCAAACAAGGTTTGTAAGTTACACTGCTGAAGACTCTGCCTCACCTCTCCATCTCAGAGGCAACAAGCTTCCTTCCACTTCTCCTCCACAGCACCTCCCTCTCTCTCACCTCCCAGCATTCATCAGACCCCCCTCTCTCTCTCTCCTGATGAACAAAACATCAAACAATCATTGAGTTGTTCATCTTCTTCCTGTGCATGTTGTCACATGTAAACGCACCTCTCCTCCTACATTCCTGAATGACCTCCTTTCTTTAGGTTGCCAGGTTAAGGTCACCTGATTGATGCTAGCGCTGCACTCTCTTTAGACACGCTGTTAAATGCTATGTACTGTACCTACACTGTGGAATGCTGCACAGCCTGCCTGATGCGATCCTGCATCCGACTCTTCTGCCTCATGCCGTCATCTCATTCATGATCCTGCTGCAGAGTTAAACCCTGTCGTTGTTGTTGTGCTTCTTCTCCACCAGAGGGCAGAGGTGTGATCATTGCAGTCATCATCATCTGCATCCTGCTGCTGGCCATTTTGGGGAGTGTGCTCTACTTCCTATACAAAAAAGGCAAGCTCTGTGGACGGTCCGGCAAACAAGACCTGTAAGTATAACCAGAGCCACTTAAGGGTGAAGGGTGAGGATGTGATAATGTTGTAATCATCTAGACCCTGCGTCACTTGTAGTGGACATCAAATATTTAATGAGTCCCCAGACAGTTTTTTGGAGACAGAATAAGACATGAAAGAAAACCAGCATGGCAGAGGATCAAAACAGGAAGTGGAGTACAAAAATACATACATGCAGACTTCACTTTCTTGAGTTGATTCCCTAATATTTTTCTTGTATACATACAGAGGTGCATGTTAAGCATCATAGGCTGTTAACCACCATGCATGCATGCACCAACAGTGCATTTTAAATGTCTTCAGATAAACCTCTGAACCCATACCCAGAGTTTTGTCCGGTGCCAACTGAAATGTTTGACTTGATAGCAGACTAAGGCCTTTATCAGACAGGAAGCATTTTAGCAGCTCGAGGCGCCTTTTTGTAATTGTTTTTAATGAGAACGAAGCTTTTTTCCTCACATTTTTTGCGTTGCAACGCACGTCCTGTGTCTGTGCTCTAGGAGCCTGGCATTTTTGCCAGAGGGCTCTGAACTCTTTTTTCCCGTTGTCCAATCTGATGATTTGAGAGGTGGCTCTTCTGCGGTGGTGACAGCAACAAGTTTACAGTTGGTAAACAATGAAGGAGAAACTGATGGTAGCAGTTGCTGGATACCCAGAGCTATACAGCCCAACGTTAGACAGCAGGTTGTCAAACTGCCCCTGAGTCATCCTAAAATATGCCTGTAAACAGCCATCATGGAGGTGAAGCTCCTGGACCAACTGGTGGTACTCCCTGTGATCCACCCTCTTTTTTAGGGTCTCATGTACGCACACAGATCTGGGAAATAAGAATAACTCGAGGAGTTCAGAGAGCTACGGCAAAAATGCCAGGCTCCAAGAGCGCAGAAACACGAGGCGCATCGCAACGCAAAAACAGTGTGCAAAAAGCTTCATTCTCATTAAAAAACAATCACAAAAAGGAGCCTTCAACTGCCAGAATGTCTTCTGTGTGATCAGGGTCTAACTGGCCTCAAATCAGCTATAAAGTAAAACACAAATTCAGAGAGAAAACTGCTAAAAAAAGGCTCTGATCATTTTGTAAGTTTAAGATAACATAATTTAACACAATTACAAGCAACACAGGCATGCCCATGTGTGTAATTATCACACGGTTTAAGCTATTGTAATCAGTGTTTATTAATTATTTACAATGGACAACATGTAATGTGAAAGGTGCTGCTCGAAGTGATGAACCTGCAGATAATTATAACCAACTCTGCAGTTCCTCTCAGCCCTGTGGAGCTTCATAGCATCTTTTAGGTCAGTGTTTAAAAGCTCTAAAAGGCAATAGTACACAAGCAGAAACAGCAGAGCGACACAGTAAATGACTAGCTGGTTAACATAGTGGAGCATTTAGCAGCTAAAGAGGAGTCGGTAGTGACCAAAAACAGCAAAACAGGAGTGAACAAAAGACTAACGTTTGTCAGGTGGACACAGACATGACTTTAAGGAGTTTGTTTTGGTCTCACAGCACCAAAGAGAAGTCCAGCAAAGATAACATCGTGGTGGAGATGAAGAGCGACAACACAGAGGAGGCCGTGCTTCTCGGAATCAACGGAGAAAAGCTGCCTCCCAGCGACCAGGTAGATATCTACTGTTTAACTTAACGGGTTGTATGTCGCCTGGGATGATGCTGTTTTTCTGCTGATCTGATTACACTATTAACATATGTGCACCCCCTTCACCCCACCTGTCTCCCTCGCCCTTGTCTTTGTCTCTGTGTTGTGACATCTGCATTTGCCCTCTGGAGTAAAGAGCGGTGAGTACCTGGATGTACAGAAGTGAAGAGGCGACAGCAGACACACCAACAGCTGCTCCTGTTCCTCCCTCTCAGGCTCAGACCGGCCGAGGCCTTCAAGCTTCCACCACAGCTCCTTAACCCAGAGTTACGTCATGGAGAAGCTCAGTCGTGTGTCAGTTAATATCATGATGCACGACTGAGACTCAAATGACTCCAAGCTGCAGCTTTTGCTTAGTGTCCTTTACATCCAGCACTTTTCTGTTGGAATGAGCTTTAATGAGGAGTGATTTGAGCGCTCCATGACGTAACTCTGTTACCTTTAAACCAAGGACTATCCTTCGCCTATAGTTCTCAGTACCACGAGCCTTGTATACTGCTGATTGTCCTTAGAACAATAATTTGAGCACAGCATTGACCAGAGACTGTTTTTATACCCAACTACGCATCACCTCAGGCAAAGTAATCACTGAAGAGCAGCCTGAAACAGGTCTTTATCAAGTGTACATATTATAATCTATGTATATATTTCTTTATTTAAAATAACTCTATAGAAAAAAACAACCAAAAATAAATGACCCGATAGTGTTTCATTTTGTTTGGGTGCTCTTTATGGGAAGCAAGAAGAGCTTAGGCAGATGTCTTGTTTTTATTTTGAACATTTCTTTGTCTGTGTTTCCTGTTTTGCATAAGTCTGTACACTGAAATCTTCGGGGATGCAGCGATGTGTCCTCCTACAGCCAGTTACAGCCTCACCAAAGTTTTTCCTTTTAGCTCTGAAAACAAACTGTTAAGATCACTTAATCACACATCATTCATAGTTTCCCCTTCTCTGCAGCTCGTCCTTACACTTCACAGATTGTGCATATTGAAGAAGATATTTTTACACTTTCTATAATGTCCATGACTGTAATGCATTATAAACATACTTAGAATCTGCTTATAACACTGTATAATACGCATTCATAACTGTTAGTAATGTTTTGTAGCAATACCACATTGTAAAGCATTTTATAATGACTTATGAGGTCAAGTATCATAGTGCTTCAGTATTGCTGGTCACTCACTGACATTTTGATGCAAGGATCATAGTGTGTTATAATAATTGTGAAACATGATAATCATTTTATAATGATTATAATCACTCTTAATGCATTATAATGTGTAGGAAGTTAGGCGGCCATTGGGTGCTTTAAGTAAAGTAGTGAAACATTACTCAGGCTGGTTATAAGTGACTTCAAGTGGTCATTGTTTGCTTAAGTAAAGCAAAAAAACATATCATTAAATCTACCAAAGAACGCCCAAAATGTTGTAATATTAATGTCTTTGTTTGACGGGTCATTACAGAAATTGTTTACTCCAGTTTGACACAACTTTTTGATGATTAACAACTAAACAATGGACATTTACATTTCACTAATGTAGCGTTTCTCCCCAAAAAACTCACTCAAAAGTAGGGATATTTCTAGACTAATTTACTTGACATGTAAACAGAAGTTAAATCTTAGACTCTAAAAGTCAGACTACACTAAAAAAAATAGTCAAAATTAAGCACAATTTAATCTATAAGGTTAAATGTTGTCCAAAAAAGGATTGCATATATTTTAAAAGTCATTTCAAATCCATCATAGTTTTCAATAACCAAATAATATTTTAAATCCCACTGAAATGTGTGACACTTTGCAATGTGCATTATGAATATTACACACAGTCTTAAAAAACACTCAACAACTCATCAAAAAGCAAACATAACATTTATTTACTGTGTATAAAACGTCCCGAATCATCTCCATTTAAAAACACCCACACACACACTCATGTCCAGGCGTCTGCGGATCTCCGTGTGCCCAACTAATAACAAGCCAAAGCATCTCTCTCATTTAGCCTAACAAGTAGACATCCAGCCAGTGTGAGTGTGTGTGGTTGTACATGTGTGTGTGAAACAGAGAGAGCGAGGAAGAGCCTTTGATGATCAGAGCCGCTGGTTAGTCTTGCATGCTGATCTGAACTCCTCTCGTTTTCCTCTGGGTGTCCTGTTAAGTTTAACCGACTAGTCATCGACTAACGGCACACATTCCTGCTCTAAAGACTCAACTGACACAAATTATGGATATTACCTGAAACTTTTGTCTATGTTTATAGTGTATTGTAGACACGCGCTTGCCAAAAATGTCCGTGAGTGACCAGAAGTTAAGTTTTATGCTAATTGTATCGTAGAAGTCATTTTAAAATGCTTTATAATGCCTTCTGATTATTTTATAAAGGATGATGACTATTTATGGGTGCTGACAACTAACTGTAATGCATTATAATCAGCTCATAGCACTGTAGAAGTATGTTTATAATGCAATGTAGACATGGGAATCATAGAGAGTGTCACCAATGTTTGTGCGAGACGGGTGAATAATCTTCAGCATTTGACATAGAAGGGTTAACATTATTTGTTATTCGCTTATTTTATGGTTTCTGTCCTTCACAGACTATTTTTTTAGATGTTTTTTATGTGTGTGTTTGAGTTGAAGCATTGCCAACAGCCAAGTAAAAAAGTTACAGATGCCTTAGAAGTTCAGTCCAAGCCTGTAGAAATATCATCATTTGTATTGTTAGTTATGTTTCTATTTAATGTTCAGTGCACTGATTTCTTTGTGGTTCTTCATGCAGTTGTGTTTCTCTAATGTGAAACAGTGGTTTTGTTAAATGTGACTGTACGTGAATGAAAAGTATTTCTTTTGTTTAGCTATTTTTAGTTCTTGAAGAGGGAGGATGAGGAACAGATTATTGGCCCATGGTGAAAATGGCTCACGGCATGAAGTTGCCCTCCTCATGAGAAAAAGACACATTTCTGTTTGATGAAGTAATTAATTCATGTTTTGACTGAAACTTGAAATAATCTGTCGGATCCCAGAGAGACACAGAATCCCCCTCAGACATGAAGACTAACTACAGTATGTGACTACTGAAGAGGGGGGAATGACTGTGACTCCACATATGCAAATTAAGTTTGTAGACAATCAACAACCAAGATGCACTGTGCTCAGTAATGTGCATGTCCATACTCACACTTCCTTCCCTCTGTCAGTTTCGTTCTGCTGTTTTTACGAACTACCACTGTTACATTGTTTTGGATGTTTAAAATCTGTAAAATACCTTGGAGTTGTGAAATGTTGAAATTATTGTCATTGATGACATTGAAACCAATTTACCAACAAATTCATTGTTTGTAGTTTTTGAAAATTATACCAAATAAAGATTGACTGTTAAATGAAACGAAGAGCTTGAAATGATTTTAAGTTAGACATTAAGTTACCTATTACACAACTTAATGTAGAGGCATAGGCTGCTAACAAAGACATCTTAATGTCTGCAGATTTACAAGTCTTGCATAAGAGTTGTACAATTTCCTTGAACGATGCCCCAGAAAGAGCAGTGGTATGTCATCCATCCATCCATCCATCCATTTTCATTCGCTTATCCGGGGCAGGGTTGCGGGAGCAGCAGGCCAAGAAAAGCACCCCAGACGTCCCTCTCTCCAGCAATGCTTTCCAGCTCCTCCTGGAGGACCCCAAGGTGTTCCCAGGCCAGATGAGATCCCTCCAGCATGTTCTGGGTCTGCCCCTGAGCCTCCTACCAGTGGGATGTTCCTGGAACACCACCAATGGGAGGCGCCCAGGAGGCATCCTGAACCACCTCAACTGACCCCTTTCGATGCAAAGGAGCAGCAGCTCTACTCCGAGCCCCCTCTGGATGTCCGAGCTCCTCACCCTATCTCTAAGGCTGAGCCCTGCCAGGGACACTTACTCCCAACATATGGAAATTTAAATTTCTGATATTAAATGAACAATGAATTAATATTTACGAGGGCATAAATTAAATGTTTCTTTAAAAGAAATATCTATTTTTCCTGCAATTAGTAAAAAAATAACACTGAACAAAAATATAAACGCAACACTTTTGTTTTTGCTCCCATTTTTCATGAGTTGAACTCAAAGATCTAAAACATTTTCTATACACACAAAAGACCATTTCCTTCAAATATTGTTCACAAATCTGTCTAAATCTGTGTTAGTGAGCACTTCTCCTTTGCCGAGATAATCCATCCCACCTCACAGGTGTGGCATATCAAGATGCTGATTAGACAGCATGATTATTGCACAGGTGTGCCTTAGGCTGGCCACAATAAAAGACCACTCTAAAATGTTCAGTTTTATCACACAGCACAATGCCACAGATGTCGCAAGTTTTGAGGGAGCGTGCAATTGGCATGCTGACTGCAGGAATGTCCACCAGAGCTGTTGCCCGTGAATTGAATGTTCATTTCTCTACCATAAGCCATCTCCAAAGGCGTTTCAGACAATTTGGCAGTACATCCAACTGGCCTCACAACTGCAGACCACGTGTAACCACACCAGCCCAGGACCTCCACATCCAGCATGTTCACCTCCAAGATCCTCTGAGACCAGCCACTCGGACAGCTGCTGCAACAATCGGTTTGCATAACCAAAGAATTTCTGCACAAACTGTCAGAAACCGTCTCAGGGAAGCTCATCTGCATGCTCGTCGTCCTCATCGGGGTCTCGACCTGACTGCAGTTCGTCGTCGTAACCGACTTGAGTGGGCAAATGCTCACATTCAATGGTGTCTGGCACGTTGGAGAGGTGTTCTCTTCATGGATGAATCCCGGTTTTCACTGTTCAGGGCAGATGGCAGACAGCGTGTGTGGCGTCGTGTGGGTGAGCGGTTTGTTGATATCAACGTTGTGGATCGAGTGGCCCATGGTGGCAGTGGGATTATGGTATGGGCAGGCATATGTTATGGACAACGAACACAGGTGCATTTTATTGATGGCATTTTGAATGCACAGAGATACCATGACAAAATCCTGAGGCCCAATGTTGTGCCATTCATCCACGACCATCACCTCATGTTGCAGCATGATAATGCACGGCCCCATGTTGCAAGGATCTGTACACATTTCCTGGAAGCTGAAAACATCCCAGTTCTTGCATGGCCAGCATACTCACTGGACATGTCACCCATTGAGCATGTTTGGGATGCTCTGGATCGGCATATACGACAGCGTGTTCCAGTTCCTGCCAATATCCAGCAACTTCGCACAGCCATTGAAGAGGAATGGACCAACATTCCACAGGTCACAATCAACAACCTGATCAACTCTATGCGAAGGAGATGTGTTGCACTGCGTGAGGCAAATGGTGGTCACACCAGATACTGACTGGTTTTCTGACCCCCCCAGACCCCCCCCCCCCAATAAAGCAAAACTGCACATTCCAGAGTGGCCTTTTATTGTGGTCAGCCTAAGGCACACCTGTGCAATATTCATGCTGTCTAATCAGCATCTTGATATGCCACACCTGTGAGGTGGGATGGATTATCTCGGCAAAGGAGAAGTGCTCACTAACACGGATTTAGACAGATTTGTGAACAATATTTGTGAGAAATGGTCTTTTGTGTATATAGAATAGATCTTTGAGTTCAGCTCATGAAAAATGGGAGCAAAAACAAAAGTGTTGCGTTTATATTTTTGTTCAGTGTAGTTCTGCCCTGGAAATTACAGGCCTGTAATTAAAACTTTGCTAATTCATTTACTGTAACATGCAGACAAATAAACCGTGGTGTTATTGTTGTTGTGCTCCTGCAGACATACAGTAAATTACAGGTTTTATCTTGTTTACTAAGAGTCTATATGATGCTGATTTGATTCATGGGCAGTCAAATCAGATTTTGGTTTTCAGTGCAATTATCAAATGCATTACTGAACATTCAAGACCAGTGCTGAGGTATTGAACCTGTCTGAAAGTTCTGACCACCTGCTCGCTAGTTTTAAATTCTTTTTTTTTCTTTTTTTTTTTTTTAGTTTTCTGAACATCTCCTGCACTTTAAAGCACTTTGTTGCATCATCATGTTGTCTGAGAGTTTCATCAGATCTGTACTTCAATGCTGCCTGGAGAGTTACTAAAACAGTTGTCCTTTCCAGCTCCTCACCTCTCCTGCTCAGCCGACCCTTTACACAGCAGATGTTTTGACTTATCCAAGCAGGAGCAGCGTAGATGCAAATAATAAGAATAATGGTGGCAATATTCTATTAAGTGTTCCGGTAAGTCATGTTAGGGAGAGAACATGATCCCCAGAATTATTTCACCTAAACGGAATGCAGCCATCATTAATGTTGTTAGTCCCAAAAGAGCATTTTTTTCTTTTTAACTGCCATGAAAAGGATCTATACCAAAGTGGAATATTGTTCAATTGTTAAAATGTCATTGGAAATGTCATGGGTTAGCATGTCACAAAAAATTCAGTACAGTATGCCATAAAAACAATTTTATAAAAAACTTTCATAAGTTAGTATGCCACAAAAATCTTATAAAAATGTCAAAAGAATGTAATATTTAAAACAATGTTGTAATACAAATAGTTTGAATAAGATTGTTCCAAAAACAAGTGTTGCTGGTGTAAAGAATAGTATCTCAAAAAATGTCATAGTATAGCGTTGTCATAAAACATGTCATAGTTTAGCATGTCAAAAAAGTCATGGTATAGTATGTCAAATAATTTCATAGCATAGTATGTGAAAAAAGTCATAATATAGTATTTCAAAAAATGTCATAGTATAGTATGTCAAAAACAGTTCACACTATAGTCTGTCAAAAAATGTCATAGTATAGTATGTCAAAAAATGTCATAGTATAGTATGTTAAAAAAAATCAGAGGATAGTATGTCAAAAAAAAATTCATAGGATGTCAAAAATGTCATAGTATGGTATGTTATAAAAATGTCATAATATAGTATGGCAAAAAAAATCATAGTATAGTATTCAAAAAATGACATAGTATAGTATGTCACAAAAAGGTCATAGTATAGCATGTCAAAAATGTTATAGTATAGTATGTCAAAAACAGTTCACACTATAGTCTGTCAAAAAATGTCATAGTATAGTATGTCAAAAAAATGTCATAGTATAGTATGCCAAAAAATATCATAGTATAGTATGTCAAAAAAATCATAGGACAGTATGTCAAAAAAGTGATAGTATAGCATGTCAAAAAAATTCAATTTAGTATGTGAAAAAAGTCATTTTACAGTATTTCAAAAAATGTCATAGTATAGTATGTCATAAAAATGTCAGTATAGTATGTCATATAAAATGTTACGGAAATATATATAAAACATCATAGTGTATTCTGTCATAAAAAATTCCATAGTATGGTATGTCAAAAAATGTCATAGCATAGTATGTTAAAACTTTCACAGGATAGTGTGTCAAAAAAAGTCATACTATAGTATGTCAAAAAAACAAAAAACAAACAAAACAAAAAAAAAATCATAGGATAGTATGTCAAAAAATTTCATGGGATAGCATGTCAAAAAATTTAATAGGATAGTATGTGAAAAAAGTCATAGTATAGTATTTAAAAAAATGTCATAGTATAGTATGTCATAAAAATGTCATAGTATAGCATGTCAAAAAAGTCACAGTATAGGATGTCATATAAAATGTTACGGTAATATATATAAAACATATCATAGTGTATTCTGTCATAAAAAATTCCATAGTATAGTATGTTACAAAAATGTCATAGTATAGTATGTCAAAAAATTCCATAGGATAGTATGTCAAAAAATCCATAGTATAGTATGTTACAAAAAATCATAGTATAGTATGTCAAAAAATCCATAGTATAGTATGTTACAAAAAAATCATAGTATAGTATGTCAAAAAATGTCATAGTTTAGTATGTCAAAAAAATTCATAGTATAGTATGTTAGAACAATGTCATAGTATATTATGTAAAAAAAATCATAAAAAAAAGTCATAGTAAAGTATGTCAAAAAAAATCATAGTATAGTATGTCAAAAAATGTCATAGTATAGTATGTTATAAAAATGTCATAGTATAGTATGTCAAAACATTCATAGGATAATATGTCAAAAAAAGTCATAGTATAGTGTTCAAAAAATTTCATAGGATAGTATGTACCAAAAGTCATAGTATAGTATGTCAAAAAATGTCATAGTATAGTATGTCATAAAAATGTCATAGTATAATATGTCAAAAAAAGTCACAGTATAGTATGTCGTATAAAATGTTACGGTATAATATATAAAACATATCAGTGTATTCTGTCATAAAAAATTCCATATACTATATTCCATATTCAGTATACTATGACAAAAATGTCATAGTATAGTATGTTAAAAAATTTCATAGGATAGTATGTTAAAATAAGTCATAGCATAGTATGTCAAA